CCACACAACTACTTCAACACATTTTTTTTGCCGCTTTAGATCCAAACGTGACTCGCGTGTTTTATTTATTTTTTTTTTATTGAATTAAAAAAAATTCATTGCTATTTATAAAAAAAAAAAAAAAATAAACAATGACCCTGATTTCTCAATTTTATCTGCGAAAAAAAAATGATTTTCTAAAATGTCAACACAGTTTTTTTTCTTCTAATAGTTCAATTTTTTATGACAATGAAAAATTTTCCTAAATATAAATATATAATTTATTGAGTGAAAAAAATTTTTTGTTTCAAATAAAATAAAATGAAATTTTTCTTCAGTAAATTGTAGGGTATTATTTTAATATCAAAAATGAATTAAAAATCTCAATTTTACGTTAAAAATAAAAAAAAATGATTTTTAAAAGGACATTAGTTTTTTTTTTTTTTTTAAATAAAGTCCAATTTTTTTATTGCAGTGAAAAATTTTCCTAAATATATAATTTTAGGAAAATTTTTTGATTCAAATAAAATGGAACAAAAGTCCATTCGTATAGATTAAAATTGCAAATTAGAATTAGAAAAATATTTATATGGGAGAATCCACGTGAGATTTACCTATGACCTTTTAAATTCGTCTAAATATATTTTTTTCTTATTCTTTGCAGAAAAAAGGTTTACGTATTTTTTTATTTTTTTATGAGTGCTTAAATTTTCGAGTTATGAATTTTTAAAAATCTGATTTTTTCAAGTTTTTTTCAAATACACACCTAATTTCAATGACATGTAACTCCAAAAGTATTGAATTTAGGAATTATGATTAACATACAAAAAAGTTTCAGTTTTTTATCGACTTTCAAAATATGTTAACGAAAAAAAAAATTTTGAATTTGTTTACAAAAAACGCGATTTTTCATAAACAAATTAAATTTTTCTTAAATTTAGGCGCGATTTTTTTTTATTTTTTTTTAATTTTTACACACATGAAAATAAAAAAAATTTTGTAATTAGTTTTAAAGTGGGCCTCATGATACTTTTGTTTATATAATTTGTTTAAAAAAAAAATTTTACTTTTTTTTTTATTTTTCAAAATAAAATGTATCTTAATTTGCTTTTCTATGAGTTTACTACTAGATCCTAGTGTCAAAAAAAAACTTTTCATTTTGAAAAATAAAAAAAACGAAAAAAAAGTAAAATTTTTTTTTAAACAAATTATATAAACAAAAGGATCATGAGGCCCACTCCAAAACTAATTACAAAATTTTCTTTTTATTTTCATGTGTGTAAAAATTAAAAAAAAAATAAAAAAAAATCGCGCCTAAATTAAAAAAAAATTTAATTTGTTTATGAAAAATCGCTGTTTTTTTATAAACAAATTCAAATTTTTTTTTCGTTAACATATTTTGAAAGTCGATAAAAAACTGAAATTTTTTTGTATGTTAATCATAATTCCTAAATTCAATACTTTTGGAGTTACATGTCATTGAAATTAGGTGTATTTCAAAAAAACTTGAAATAATCAGTTTTTTAAAAATTCATAACTCGAAAATTTGAACACTTATAAAAAAATAAAAAAATACGTAAACCTTTTTTTTCTACAAAGAATAAGAAAAAATATATTTAGACGAATTTAAAAGGTCATAGGTAAATCTCACCTGGAATTGTCCATATACAAAATTCAAAAAAGAATTTAATCCAAATAAAATGTATTTTAATTTTTTTATGGTATGAATTTAATTTTATTTTAATATAATTAATATAATATAATAAATTTTTTAAAATAATTAAAAATTCTTTTTTTTTTTTAAATTTATCAAAATTTTTAATTTGTGAAAGAAAAAAATCTGATTTTTTGCACCTGAACTTCGATATTAAAAAAATAATAATAATAAAAAAAGTAAGGTTAGTGATTATATTGACCCCCCCCCCTTCTTCTCTCTGTCACTGATTTAAGAGAGTGCAGTAAGAACGGTTTTTAACCCCCTTCTGATATAACAGCGAAGATTATACGTTCACTTCCTTGCTTTTTCTCACGTATAAAGATGCATGCTCTTTTTTTTATTTTTTTTTTATTTATAATTTATATATTTATTGCCGTTGGAAAATAGTGTAGTATATTATAAGCGACGATTAGGAAGTGATTCATTAATGCAAGAAGGTTAAATCTTTTTTTTATCACAATATTTCATCTTAAATGTTATTAAAAATTTATAACTGCATCGTTTTCTGATTTTTTTTTCCGTTCAAATATATGTTTTTTATAATTTACGATAATTAATTTAAATCTATTGAAAATTGTGGACATAAAGTTCATAAAATGACATTGAGTATATAGATAATTATAGTATTAGTAAATATTTAGCAATGCTAGTGAAATATGAACCGCAATCTAGTTTAAAAATTAAAATTGATCTAATTGCGAAAATTAAATTGAGATTTAGACAAATTTAATTACAATTTAAATAAATTTGAGTCTAAATATTAAATATTGAATTTTTAAATTAATTTAATTTTTTATTAATTTAAAATTTATTTAAATAAATAATTTAATTTAGAATTTAAATGAGATTTAAATAAATAATTTAATTTAGAATTTAAATGAGATTTAAATAAATTTAATAAAAAAAATGTAATTTGAGAATTAAATCAATTCAATTAATAATTAAAACCAATTTAATGGTAATTTAAATATTTAATTTAAATAAATCTAAACATAATTATTTATTTACATCTCGTTAGAAGGTAACTATAATTTTCACTAGTCACCATTTTGATTTAATTTATTCTTTTTTTCTTAAGAATAAATTTTTTTCACTCCTCAATCTACTTTCTAATGGGAAATTAATTTTTCAAGATTACTAAGTGTTACAGATAAAACTTTATTATTCAGTAATCAGTAGTAACGGAATGTATCGGCAAGACTGATATTTTCATTCCAATTTTTTTTTCTGAAGGACAATTTTTTTTTTTACCACAATCTACTTTCTAATTGGAAATTAATTTTTCATGATTTCTAAATAAAACACTAGTTATTTAATTTTTAATTTTAGTAGTTATGTAATTTATCAGTCAATTTCTTTCTTTAATACACTAATAATAATTTATTTCAAAAAAAAAAAAATTAACAAAAAACTTTTCAATGTTTAAGGAATAATTTTTGCAAAATTTATAAATATATATATTTTTTTAATTTTCAGTAGTAAGGAAAGATATTAGTCAGACAATTGATTTTTCATAATAAATCATTGGAAAAAATGGCAATTATCAAATAAGTATTTTTTAATAAATAACTTTTCTTTTTCTAATAAAAATTTAATGACTTTTTTTAAAAAATTAATATTTATCGAATTATATATGTACTTTCTCGTAAAAGTTTTAAACACTATTCTATGATGTAATTAATGTGAGTATATTATTCTTCTTTAGCAGTTACATGATAGCAACGAAAAAATCGAGAAGTAATTATAAAGCAATAAAAGACAATTCTAAAATTGCTGGTTAATATTTCACTATAATAAAAGTAACTTGATTTACACACTCTCGAGAATGTGAATTATTATTATTGAATTTGCATTTATTAAAATAATCTCTATAATTTTACAATGTCTTTTTCGAAAATACAAATTTCTTTTATACTATGATTAAATATTTCGTATTATTTATTTATTATTTTTGCATTATCAATTTTTTTTTTTTTTTTTTTTGAAAAATATTTTTTAAAAAAGACTTACCCCAGTAATCGACCAGCTTCCGGACTTTTGTAAAAATCACATCTATGAAGTGGTTTTCTTGGATCGTTGGTAAATCGTTGACCCGCGGCTTGACAGAGTGTTTGATAAATTTGGAACTGCAAAACTCCACCAACGAAATTTCTGCAAACAAAAATTTATCAAATTTAATTCAATTATTATTTATTAATCAAAAATTAATTAATTTCTTCATTTTTTTTTTGCCGAAAAATAATTTAATAATTAATATATATAAAAAAATTTCAGTCGCAAATTATTTAAGGCAAATGTTATTTTCAATTTAATTTATGCAGTTAAAAAATTTTGATGTATCGTAAATTTTACAAAAATTCCACAATTTTCTAATATGTACGTCTGGATCACCAAACATGTTAAACATTCACTTCCTTGCTAATATGGCTACTCTATATTATATCATATTCTATCATTAATTTTATATATTTATATGTTTTATATGTATATGTATCAAAGTTATCACCGCTTCAATCTAATTTTAAAAAGCATTTTCACGTAATTTTAAATCAAATCAAACAAAAAACTTGGATGGAAAAAAAATCACAAAAATACGCGCGGAACTAATATTATATCGTTTGTTGTTATATAATTAAAATATATATATATATATCGATAACATTCAGGATGCTGGCGCATAATTTTGCGTTTTTGTAATTTTTTAAAATAGTAAAATGTTATGTATTATTTATAATACACTGACGGAAGTATTATCAGTTTATCCGCTTTCTTTATTGATAACAAGGAAGAATTCAAAAATTCTCTTTATATATTTTATGGCAATTTTATTATTGATTTCAAAGTGGGAAAATTCAATTCATTCAAATATAAGATTAGTGTCAATTTTGTTTAGACTTTTATTTTATTAATTAATTCTATTATTCTATTTATTATTTCTATTTCTTACTCGATATTTATGCAATTCAATTATTTGCAAATGAAATAAAATTCAATGGAAAGTTGTTATTCAAGAAATATATTATTATTTTATAAAAAATTTAAAATTTTTTAAAAATTATAATTAAAATTATAAAATTAAAAAATTATAATTTAATTAACCAAAAAAAAACTATAAATACAAATTAAATAAAAAATTTCTTTTAATAAATATAGAAATTTTATTAGAAGAATTATTTTTTTTTATTTGAAAACCGTAACATGGGACAATAAATACGTTCATAAAAATATATAATTAGCATTTCTTTACATGGGTAACGTCCTTTACGTAACTGAGTAGCCTATACAAAGTCCCCTCTTGCTCTTAATTGCGCTACATTTATGTGGATTCAACTTTCGATGTGAAAGAGTTTGAATTAGAAAAAAAAGGAATTTGCATATTTGCAAATTTTGAAAGTGATTCGCGAAAAATAAATAAAAAAAAATAACAGTCCCTAAATGTCAATTTTAAGCCTGATCATTTATTATTTTGACAAATGCAAAACTTGGCGCAATCTCAATTTTTACTGCAAGAAATTTCCAAGACGTAACTCCAATCGTTTTACGTCGTGTTTACGTTTATATATATATATTAAATTAAAAAAAAATTGTAAGAAATTAAAAAGAGAAAATTTTAATTTAATAAAATTTAATAAATAATAAAAAAATATTATTTAACAAAATAGAAAAATAAAAAAGAAAATGAAGGAAAATAAAATAAAATTGCAAAAATTGAATTAAGTTTTCAAAAATGGAAAAAAATTTTAAATATATATATAATTTATTGCTCTAGGACATTAAATTGAAATGAATATATATTTCAACTTTCAAACAAGTTTAATTATACATTTCATAAGAATTAGGTAAATTTCTTTCCTCTTGACAAGTATGTATGTGTGATATCGTAAAGAAGGTAAATAATTTTTTGAGGAAATCAGGTTATTCGTAATTTCAGAGTTCCTTTTTGGTAATTAGATTTCAAAAAAAAAAAAAAAAACTCGAAAATAGAAAAAATTAAAAATTTTTTTTTCTGTGCATAAAATTATTAGATGAAAAATATTGATATTTTCAAAAAATCCTTCTTTATCATCTAATAATGATAAGAAAATTACATCATCATTATCATCAAACGCAACAAACAATAAACTCATTATCTATCGCACACTCGTTAGCATATTAACATTATTGGTCATTGTAATTATTATAATTTGCACCATAATTATAGTTCACCTAACCATATAATATTACGTAGCAACTCATAAATAAAACTTACACCAAATGTAATCCGTTTCACTTCGTACTGAATGTATTCATCACTATGGTAGAGAAATTCTAATAATTCTCTATTCAGTAATTAATTTTCCTTTCAGAATATATATATATATATATATATATATATATATATATATTGTACAATGTATTATATTTCTATATCAGATATAATGTTCGAACAAAAATTTAATAACTAAATAAATTCATAATCAGTGAGCGCGAAATTTCACTTAATTGTAAATTTTTATAATGGTTTTTTAGGAATTATATAATTTTCATCAATGCGGTAGTTTTGAACTATATATTTAAAAAATAATAAGTAATATCTATACAAAACAATGGTACTTTATTTTTTTATTATTAATATTAATTAATTAGTAAACAAAAAAATAATAAATAAAAAAAAAATTATAATTTGACTCAAATTAAATTAAAATTCCCCAATCTTTTAATCAACGTCTCATAATCTAATGCAATAAAGAACCAGAAAAGTTATTTATCTCATTCATTAACTTCATTGTTAATATATATAGAAAAAATTCTATATGTATATTCACCTCGTTAATAATCGGCGTGTGAGCGAAAATTTACACATACTTTTGTGGGAGTGTTTCTCTCTATATCTCTCAATAGAACTAAAAAGAAAAGAGCTATGCAGGAAAAAGTAACGAAAAAAAAAGAAAAGGTAAAAAAAAATAGAAATGAAATCGAGCCGAGGAATCGTGACGGTTGGTCGTGTGTCCCATGGGGAGTGGTGGTTGGTTGGACGCACGGTGTGGGACCACAATCGAGGAGTTTCTTGGCCACACACACACACATATTTATTTATACATATTTATATATATAATACGAACAAAGAACGTGGGGGTAAAACTTCTTGGGCCAGGGTACTTGGGCCCCCTTACGAAGGCGAAAGTGTGCCGCGTATATAAGGCCTGAAATAGTAAGCAATCAGCATCCAGTTCACTCCTGGACGCACCTGGAATATCGCGAATTACAAAAATGAAGAGCCTGGTACGTCAAAGAAAAAAACAAAAATAACTGAGAAAAAAAGCCGCGAATGTGTCATTTAATTGTATCGTGTTTGTGAAAAAAAAATTAATTAATTTATTATTTATTAATAAATTATTAATTTATTAACTGAAAAAAAGTCCAAGTGCGCGCAAGTTTTAAATCGCGATTCGTGTATTTTTTTTTTTTTTTACTCTTGAAGTCCATTTTTTTAGTGAATATTTTTTAAGTTGTGTTCTGTTATTTTTCATTGTTAATGGGACCTGAGTATTTTTTTTTTTTTGCCCTTATTTTCGATTTTAATGAGGGAACAATTTTTTCTATTTGAAAAATAGAATTTCTTTTCTTTTCTACTTTTATCAATTCTTGTACAATTCAATTGAATTTTCATTTTTCTAATTCAATTTTAGATTATTTTCATTTTTTCCCCTTCGCAAATAATTTTCCCCAAGGAGAATTTTCTTTAATTTTCAATTTTTCTACATCAATTTTTGATAATCAGTTTGTTTTTACTAATTCGCTTCCAATTCTTATTAATTTATTTATTATTTCTAAAAAATATATTCTCATTTTTATTAAATCCAAAGAATGTTTAATAAATACAAAAAAATCAACCTTTTCGCGGAATTTATAATTAAAAAAAAAAAAAAATTTTTAAACGAAAATTTTTGCTAAATCATTTTATTAATTAAATAGTTTAAAGAACTATTAAAATTAAATAAATTAACAAATTTTAGTAATTTATATTTTACAATAAAATTAATTACTGCTAATAATTAATAAAAATTACAAATTAATAAATTGCTTACTGTTGAAAATTTTCAATGTATTTCTTTTATACTGTAATTGGATAACAATTTTCAATTTGAATAATATAATTAGTAAAATTGTATTCTGATTTTGTTAAAGTTGTTGAAATACTAAAAAAAATGGCACTTAATGAAAGAATTAATTAATTTATTAATTATAATTAGTTTTCCTGATAAAATATTTAGAAAAAAATTGAATATTAAATGTTTAGCTTCTACATTTATCTGAAAATAATAATTAACGGTAACATAGCAACTGTTTCTATGGTATTGCTAGCTTAGAAACCATTGCTATGGTAATCGCTACCTTAGTAACCGTTGCTATGATTATTGCTACCTTAGTAACCGTTGCTATGGTAATTGCTACCTTAGTAACCGTTGCTAAGGGAACTGTTCCCTTAAGAACCGTTGCTATGGTAACTGCTACCTTAGTAACCGTTGCTAAGGGAACTGTTCCCATAGGAACCGTTGCTATGGTAATTGCTACCTTAGTAACCGTTGCTAAGGGAGCTGTTCCCTTAGGAACCGTTGCTATGGTAACTGCTACCTTAGTAACCGTTGCTAAGGGAACTGTTCCCATAGGAACCGTTGCTATGGTAATTGCTACCTTAGTAACCGTTGCTAAGGGAACTGTTCCCTTAAGAACCGTTGCTATGGTAACTGCTACCTTAGTAACCGTTGTTAAGGGAACTGTTCCCTTAGGAACCGTTGCTATGATAATCGCTACCTTAGTAACCGTTGCTATGATTATTGCTACCTTAGTAACCGTTGCTATGGTAATCGCTACCATAACAACCATTGCTAAGCCAGCGGTTTCCATAGCAACCGTTGCCATAACAACGGCATTGAGCCACGAAAACCCTAGAAAAAAAAGATGTCCTACCAATAATTCTCAATAATTTTATAAACATAACAAAAAATATAACTAAAAAGATAATAATTCCTTAAAAAAAAAATTTCAGATCTGCGTGGCTCTGTTCGCACTCGTCGTATCGGCGACGTCCGCACAAGAAGCTAAAATCACCAAAGAAGTTGAGGAGAAGAAACACGAGAAACGTGGCCTCTTTGACTTTGGCTATGGATATGAAGGTGGCGATTTTGGAGGTTACGAAGGTGGTGACTTAGGTGGTCATCATCATGAAGATCATCATCATGTGAAAACAATCGTGAAACATGTTGCCTATCCAGTTGAGAAGCATGTACCAGTTAAAGTGCCAGTGCCTCATCCCTATCCAGTTGAGGTTAAGGTTCCAGTTAAAGTACCAGTTCATGTACCATATCCAGTTGAGAAACACATCGAGAAACCAGTTCCATATCCAGTACATGTGCCACAACCATATCCAGTTAAAGTACCAGTACCACAACCATATCCAGTTGAAAAAATCGTTGAGAAAGTTATCAAGGTTCCAGTGCACATTCCACAACCATATCCCGTTGAAAAAATTGTCAAAGTTCCCGTAAAGGTGCCAGTTCATGTTTCAGTACCATATCCAGTTGCAAAATTGGTTCCCTATCCAGTTGAAAAAACTGTTCATGTACCAGTACATGTGCCAGTTAAGGTACATGTTCCACAACCATATCCAGTTGAAAAAATAGTCAAGGTACCTGTACATATTCCAAAACCATATCCAGTTCATGTTCCAGTTGAAAAACATATTCCAGTTCCTGTGCATGTGCCAGTGCACCATCATCATTCTCATCATGAAGAAGGTGGTGAGGGTGGTTACGGTGGTTACGACTTTGGTGGTTATCATTAGTAATTTTTTTTTGTTTTTGCGCCTAGATGTTTCACCTAACATGTAATTTATTTGTTTGTTTGTTTTTTTTTTTTGGTACACGAATGATGGAAAATTTTTTTTGTCATTATCTTGAAAGAAGACACATGTTATGTGAAGCTGATGACGGCACCAATACGACGAGTAACGAACAACCTCGTTCATGATCTTTATTTAATTCATTATATTATGAAGTACTTGGGATCCTAGTCGTTTAGATTTTGTTATTATAATTTCGTCAAGTTATTAATATTATATATAGTTTAATTTTTATGAAAAGGAAAAAAAGTATATTTTTTTTTTTGTCAAAAGGTCTTGGATCCTCAGTATTTCACCATGGTCTCAACAAAGGATCCCAATAATAGGGATCTTTGCTCGAGAGTAGCATCTTTTTTTTGTACCTTTAGCTAATAAAAAAGTATTTTTGTACGGAAACGATAATAAAGGATTTTTCCAAAGTATTTAAATGATTTCATTTTTATTTATCTCTATTGTAAAATTGATGATGAATAAATAAAATGCATTTCATTACTTCTTAAAATTAGGAACTTATTTAATTGCTCTCATTTAAATTATCCAATTATTAATTATACCTGAAGTTTATGAATTTTCTACTTTTTTTTATTTCTTTTTTCCAAATATTTACTTATTTTTTAAAATGGTGGAATTAATTATAAAAAATTGCTTTACTTTATTTAATTCTTTATCTAATGTCAACTTTTTTTTTTTTTTTTTTTTTTTTGAAAAATTAATTTTCCACTTATTTACTTATGTTGATTAACGAGAAAGAAAATTATTCGAACAGTAAATAAGTAATTAAAAGAAAAAAAAGAAAATTATTTTCCTGACCATTGTGGTTCTGGACGATAAATTTTGTTTTTGTTTTTCTAAAAGAATTCTCAGAATATGATCTAATCGACAAATCATAATATATGTATACAAGTAAAGTGACTTTTAACACATTTTCTAATGTGAAAATTGCACCTTTTGGGAGTCAGGTAAAAAAAAGGGGGAAAAAATATAAAAAGTCAGCCAAGCAAATAAATAACCTAAACAAGCAATGAATGTCCTTCCTGTCTTATATACATATATATATTTATATATATTGCATGTACTTAGTAATTTCTGTCGATGATGTAAAGCAGCTTGAACTCATTAATTAGTATCATAAATCAAACTATATATATATACAATTCAATACGTTATGAAAGGATCATAATCTCGATTAGAACGATCCTTCGAAATATTTTCTTAGTGAGAGAATTTCTCGATTATATAAGTGTCATTATTTCGAATATATAAATCATGTATATCTTTCAACAGATTTTTTTTTTTTTTTTTTTTTTGGGAAAAATTTACGAGATTTTGGTTCAATATTCTTGTCTATACTGATAAATTAACTGATTTTATGAAACCATCATTGTCCAAATATATAAAATATCCACGTAGTAAATATACTTTATGATCTAATATTTCAACATTTAAATGATAATGTAAAATAGATATATAATAATTTTGGATAATGGAAATATAATTAAGTAAATAATTATTTAAAAACTGGAAATATAAAAATTAGAGAAATGAAATAAAATTTAAATAAAATAGATTAAATAAATAGAAATATAAAAAAAATTAAAAAAATAAAACAGATGAATAAAAAAATGAAATAAATAAATAAAGATACAAAAAATAATTAACAGTTGTCATGGACACGGTTACTAAGGTAACAGTTCCCTTAGCAACAGTTTCTAAAGTAGCAATTACCATAGCAACGGTTGCTAAGGTAATAGATCCCTTAGCAACGGTTACTAAAGTAGCGATTACTATAGCAACAGTTGCTAAGGCACCGATTAACATAGCACGGTTACTAAGTTACCAATTACCATAGCAACGGTTGCTAAGGTAATAGTTCCCTTAGCAACGGTTTCTAAGGTAGCAATTACCATAGCAACGGTTGCTAAGGCACTGATTACCATAGCAACGGTTCCTAAGGTAACAGTTCCCTTAATAACGGTTACTAAAGTAGCAATTACAATAGCAACGGTTGCTAAGGTAACAGTTCCATTAGCAACGGTTACTTAAGTAGCAATTACCATAGCAACGGTTCCTAAAGGAACAGTTCCCTTAGCAACGGTTACTAAGGTAGCAATTATCATAGCAACGGCTCCTAAGGACACAGTTTCCTTAGCAACGGTTCCTAAGGTAACAGGTCCATTAATAACGGTTACTAAAGTAGCAATTACAATAGCAACGGTTGCTAAGGTAACAGTTCCATTAGCAACGGTTACTTAAGTAGCAATTACCATAGCAACGGTTCCTAAAGGAACAGTTCCCTTAGCAACGGTTCCTAAGGTAACAGTTCCCTTAATAACGGTTACTAAAGTAGCAATTACAATAGCAACGGTTGCTAAAGTAATAGTTCCCTTAGCAACGGTTACTAAGGTAGCAATTCCCTTAGCAACGGTTACTAAAGTAGCGATTAGCGTAGCAACGGTTACTAAGGTATAAATTACCATAGCAACGGTTGCTAAGGTAATAGTTTCCTTAGCAACGGTTGCCAAGGTAACAGTTCCCTTAGTAACGGATGCTAAGGTAACAGTTCCCTTAGTAACGGTTACTAAAGTAGCAATTACAATAACAAAGGTTGTTAAGGTAACGGAATAAAAATTTGGAAAAACTTTCTACATTAGAAGTTTGGAATAAAAGAATAGTTTTAATTTTTTGGAGATATAGTTTTTCTTTTTCTCTCTCTTTTTTTTGTCACTAAATCATTTTTTACAAAAGTAATTCTCATAGAAATTTGTATAATTTAGAAAAGTGAGTCGAGTCGCATTCGGCCTACTTAGAATATATATAATAGAGCCACACTTGACTCACAAAAATGACTTGCTCGTCCGCGAAGAGAAAATTATGCAATTTGCTATTAGTGCACGCGACTTTAGTCTGAAAGTAACAGTATTATATATATGAGTGTACGAGAGAGCAGAGAATGTTTTGCCACCGCCTCCGCTGGCATAATCAGGGAACAAGAAACGATTGGAATCAGAATCTCTCTCCCTCTCATTGGACCCTATATATATATATATATATATATATATAGATAATATACATGGAGGAAGAGCTCAGGCGATGGCAGGAAACGATCTCTTCTCCCTCGATCCCCCACCAATCGTTTGCATCCCGTGCACGTAAATGTGCGGTCAATCTAGTTTGTAAATGTAAAGAGCGATTTCGTAATTTCAAATTTCCTCTCGAATTAAATGGTCAAGTTAAATATAATAAATAACTTCATTTTATAGCAATTTATAATTTAAATTTATTTTTTATATTTTATTATCATTTAAAGTATTTATTTTTATTTCTTAAAAATTAAAGGAGAAATTTTTTCACTATTGGGATAAGAATTTTTGATAAAAAAAAATTTTGAGAAAATTTGAAAGAGTTTTAATGAATTGTATAGTTTTAGTAATTTCAATTATTTTCTAGTTTTTAATTATCATGGTAGCTTCGATTATTTTTAAAAACTTCATTTATTGTTTTGCTTCAATTGTCAGTTCCTTCAATTAACAATTTCTCTAATTATTGATTGATTGAATTATTTTTCAAATTATTAGGTAGTTGCCATAATTATTGGTTCCTCTGATTATTAGTTATATTTCAATTATTGGTAGCTTCGATTATTTTTGAAAATTTTGTTTATTATTGGTAGCATTAGTCGTTATTCCTTTAATCATTGTTTCAATTTTTAATAATTGCTTCATTTATTGGTTCCTTTAAGCATTGATTACTTTAACTATTGGTAGCTTCAAAACTTTGAAATCAGTACTTAAAATAACAAATATTTTAAAATCTTCCTTTGTAGTTTTTCAATTTAAAAAAAACTTCTTCTTCTTTTCATAAAATTTTGATTAAAAATATTGAAAAAAGTTTTTGTGAAAGAAAGAAATCTTCAGAAGAAATGTGAATATTAAGAAAGACCATTCTCGCATATGTATATATGTAACTCGTAATAGATGATATAATCAAGATATAAACACGAAATTCCAATTTGCGAAACGATTCCTTGTGAGATCTGTGTTATGTCCATTTGAATGACTAATGATTCCTTTATAATAATATAGCGCACAATAGAACCATAGATCCATTTTACGATAGGACATATGGGGTATAACTTCACGCATCTGATTTTAGATTATGTCGTGAATTTTCACAATTTCTTTTTCTCTCTTTTTTTTCATTATTCATTGTCTGTATATGATTTAAAGGACAGATTAATAACGAAAATAATATATTTTCTTGCCGTCTATAATATTTTTTACTTATATAAATAATGTAGCTTCGATAATAAAAGTTATATATATATATATATATATATACTTTTACGAAAATCGTAAAAACCCAGTTATTGCGATTCTAACTCTTGCGTAAATTGGCAGGATGCTTCAAGCAAAACTTTCATATTTGAAATGCAATTTTAAAACTGTATCATGTCCAGGTGACAATATATATATGTTTCGTCATTTTTTTTTTTAATTTTGTAAACTTTATGTAATTTTCATGTGCACAAATGTATGACATTGTGTAAAAAAAAATTAAATAACGTGACTTAATTTTGTCATTTTATATTAGATGTTCAAATTTCGCGAAATAGTTTTTTAAAAATATTTTTTTTGTTAAGAGTTTATTTATTTTTCTCTTTAAATAACAAAAATTAATTTCGCGAAGCAGAATTTTTAATTATTTTTGCGTTTTTAAAAAGAATTTATTTATTTTTGTCTATATAAATATATCAAAAAATATTTTACAAAGTAGAATTTTTAATTATTATTATTTTTTTTTTTTTTTAATAAAATGGAAAATTTTTTTGATTTTATTACAGAAATAAAGGTAAGTTGAAAGCAATGTATATATGATTCAAATGGATTCTGTAATAAGGAGACACCTTTCGCTTCGTGGAAAATTCTCGAACTTCTTGATACTCCTGCTGCCGATAAAGGAGGCCACGATATTTATATATAAATAAATAAAATATTAAAACAAATAACAAAATATAATAAAAAAAAGACAATAAATTTTTTTAATAATAACATTAATAACAAAATATATTCAAATAATTGATCAGTAAAATATAATTCAAAAAAGAATTTTTGTGATTTGAAAAAAAAAATTCCAATGCGAATTTTTTAAGCAAAAAAAGAATAATTTAATTAATAATTCAATAATAATTTCAATTGTCTGTTAAATTTTCTACCAATTTTTTCTTAATTTAAAATTTATTAAACAATATCAAGAAATTTCAAAAAGAAAAAAAATTCGATAAAAAATTTTTTTCGAACAAATAAAAATTTTCATATAAAAATAAAAAAAAAAAAATTATAAAATTATAAAAATCAAATAATTAATAATTAAGGAAATATATATTCAAAATGAATTGTTTTTTTTAATAAAAAAAAATCCAATT